TTCTAGTTAAAAGATATTATAAGAAATTTTTATCATAAAATAATAAGTGTTTAATATCATTGTCTATGATTGAAAAAGATTGCAACTTATCGTACAAATTTTTATATTTAATATTATTGAGCTTTGATAGAGTAGTATAACAAATAAAACTTTTATACAGTATTATAGCTTTCGAAGTTTTTAATGATAAAATATTATAAGAAATTTACCATAAAATCATAATAAGTGTACAATATCATGTCTATGATTGAAAAAAGTCAACTTATCGTACAAACTTTTATATTTAATGTTATTGAGTTTTGATAGAGTAGTATAACGAATAGAGCTTTGATAGAGTATTATAGCTTCCAATGTTTGTTGTGGGAAGATATTATAAGGAATTTATGGTATCATAGAATAACAATAAGTACATAACATTATTGATCATGATTGAGAAATATTCACTTGTTATACAAACTTTCATATTTAATATTATTGAAAAGAATAGCATTATTAATTTTTATTGAATCACAAAGAAAATCTATGTATTGCGAAATTGGTACAGGGTGGGCCATCTATTGGTACGTTTTTAAAAATGCGATCAAATGAGCATACATTGATATTTTTTATTAATTTTTTTTTTGTTGTGAAGCTAAAAGTATCCGCGTCAAGAATGAAAAACGATTTCGTTCATGTGGCTCCCTCTACTGGCCTTACAGTATGCCATTCGGTCACCCCAATTATTAATGACATTTTGGACTACCTCGGCGCCAATTTCACTCAAAACAGTCGTAATATTGTTTTTCAAAGCTGGAATTGTCTCTGGATTATCCGCATAACATCGGTCTTTAACGGCACCCCACAGGAAAAAGTCCAGCGGTGTCAAATCGCAGCTACGCGCAGGCCAATTGACATCTCCTGAACGGCTGATTATGCGGTTGTTGAACTTGGTGCGCAGAAGGTCGATGGTAAGTCGGCTTGTGGCGCCATCTTGTTGAAACCAAAGGTCGTCCACATTCATAGTGTCGATTTGAGGCCATAAAAAGTTGGTCAACATGGCTCTGTAGCGTTCGCCATTGACGGTAACGGCGTTTCCAGCATCATTTTCGAAGAAAAATGGGCCAATTATGCCACCACTCCAAAATCCACACCAAACTGTGACTCTTGGAGGATGCATTGGTCTCTCTACGATTGTGTGTGGCTGTTCCGAGCCCCAAATCCGGCAATTTTGCTTGTTCACATATCCGCCGAGATGGAAATGAGCTTCGTCCGAAAAGATGATTTTTCGACCAAAATCGACGTCATTATTGAGCTGGTCTATAGCCCACACAGCAAACTGATATCGAAGCGGATGGTCATTTGCTTTCAACTCCTGAGTCATCTGGATCTTGTAGGCGAATAATCCGAGGTCTTTGTGCAGTATTCTCCTCAGGCTGGTGCGACTAATGCTCAGTTGCTGCGATCGGCGTCGAGTTGAAGTCGTCGGATTCTGTCTCACACTTTGGGCCACAGCCTCAATATTCTCGGGTGTGCGCACTGTCCGAGCTCTGGGACCACTTCTGTCATCCACTAACATCCCTTTCTCACGAACTTTCCTCACCAATTTGCGTATAGCTCCTTCGGTGGGTGCTCTATCACGACCCATATTTCTTTTCAAAATTCGTACAGTTTCGGCGACACAGCACTGACTTTGAAAATAAGTTTTTAAAATTTCAAAACGCTCTTCAAGAGAAAACATGTTGTTTCGTGCCGCGGACGGTATGACTAATAAACTGTCAAAATTTCGGGTCTGTAGCTCGTTTGGTGTTGCCATACGACGAAATTCAAAAACGTACCAATAGATGGCCCACCCTGTAGAAGATTAGTCACATTGATTAATATTCATATTCTTTCCATTTCTATAATATTGATTTATTTTCTATCTATTATTTTAAGTAGGGTATATAATTGTATATAAAATGTGTCCATTTCTACACAATTACATAAAATTATATATAATTTTCTATAATTATATATAAAACATTTTTTCCTGGGATGATTGTATGCTTAAATAACTGTCTATACATTTTATGAATCTCGGACGGAGACCTGAATTTAGGAGCCTTGACGCCTATCCTTTGTTATTTTCGTTCCGTCTCGCTCTGACTGAGATGACGGAGTGGGGGAAGCGTTTTCGACTCACGAGCAAAGTGTTGGACAGGCCTGGTCAGTGTTGCCAGACGTACGACTATAGTCGTACCTGTACGACTATTTCATTTTTTGTACGACATACGACAGCAAAGGGTGTCGTACGTCGTTTTGTACCACTATTTAATCTTTTAAGACTATTTGTACTACTATTCAATACATCTATGCAATATTTTCAGAAAAAAAGTAAACCATGAGTACATTTTATATTTAATGTAATTAGTGTCGGAATTATAGTAAACTCAGCAAATCAGACGCTGCCATTGACTTAGTGAGTTTGTCTAATTAATTTCTACACTAGTTTATCTCCAAAAGAGACTTAGGATATGTTTCCACTGAGCGCGTCACGCGTTGCGTCGTGAAAGAGAGAAGTTTACATATACAGGGTGTTTGGCGACTACCACATTTTTTGTCATACGTGGGTAGAACAGCCTATACTGAATCAAAAAGTCCTGTACCATTTTGAGGTGTCAGCAATATATAATAGTTAACGAGATATTAACGTTTAAAAGATAGCCAAATACGCGCGTCCGCCCGACCTACTATTGCCGAAGGCACAGCCCACCGAGCGCACGGCGCGCGAGCTGCAAGGAGCGGGGATGGCCTAATAGGCGCGCTGCGCCGTTCGAGATTAGAGGCTCGCGGCGGTGAGCGGGGCGCTTGCCCCACTCCCCGCGCGCTAAGCTATCGATGGCGAATATTAGGCGCTTTGGAAATAATATCTCGATTGGGAAATGATCGAAATCTTTTTGAGAACTCAATTTAGTTCGCCCTAAAGCGTGCGCGTGTACATACAGAAAAATGTTAAATGTGTATAAATATGACTTGTTTTAAATAAATAATATGTGTATTTTAAAAGAGTGTTTGACAATTCTACCGACAACG